TGCCGGTTCCGTTGTTCTTCTGGATGGCAAAGTAAAGGTACGCGACGTATTCGGGAAGCATCCAAATTCTCCAAAGCTCCGAAAACTTTCGGAAGTGCTTATCATGCAAGATAGTGTACAGATGCTTAAATTCTTAATCTCGAAAAAAAGTGCCTGCAGAGCATGATTTTTTTCTCAAATATTGGCAAAATTGATATTTTCCTCATCGAATTCAACTTTTTGAGCTAGAATCCTTCCCTGATAAAGTAAAATTTTATAGGCCAGACTTACTTTCTCTGGTTCAGAATAGGCTAAGAAGGAGTGAAGGGAAGAGGACTGTGATTGATGGGATCGAAATTTTCCGCACATGGTAAAAAGTACATCTTCCTTCTTCCAATACAGCTTTCTACTTGATTTACAATCACATTTTATTCAATCGCATACTCGCATAAACACTTGTCATGTGCTTGGTACATGAGAAGTGCAACACAAAAGACACGAAAGCACACTGATTTTGCTATTATTTGACTCAGAGTGCCTGAAATATCTGGGGAATAGCTGTTAATTCATAGTGTGTAACGTCGTCTCTGTACTTAACAACTTTCTGTCGTAGTTCGAGATGTCGCAACGGTATTTAAAAAATGCAGAAAATAATCAGCGAGAATTAGATTTTGTCCTCTAATGCGAATTATCCCAATTCGATTACTCAGTTTAAATTTCAATTTCTTACTCGGTCGGATTTCACTCCCATCCGGTAATTTCGGTTTTCTTTGCTCATTTTCGGGGTTCAGCTCCACCTCGCTATTCCTATTCAAAAGCCGTATTTTCAGTTGCAAAAGGCATTCAAAGTGCTGATCGAATGGGGCGTTGGATCGGCGGTTGTCTGGAGCAGTAAGCTGCAGCGTGTTACTTCTCTACTTTGCCTTACCGATTTCCTCAACACGCTGCTCTCGGATTCGAGCGAAGAATCGACGCCGGTCGAGCAAGCAGTTTCATCCAATCAACTGGTTTGGCTCAGTGCTTCATGCAAGTTTGTCTTTTATTTGTCATCCATCATCAGTAAACAGATTTCTTGGTTTAAAAAAAAGCCTGCTTATAGTTGTTGCTCGTAAAACCGTTGTTTTCTAATAGTCGACTGTGTTAGTAAACGTCGTCCCTCCAAGACGCTGAATTGTTTGAGCGATATCTGTTTGTGCCGAGGCGTTTCCAAGTATTATTTGATTCTAAAGCACTTATCTAACTTATATAAACCATAATAAGTAATTATCTACAATAACAATTATCATAATAATATTCATGATAACAATAAGGTCTAATAATAATTATTATCTTTATCTAAGTCTAATAATTATAATTATTATCTATGTGATAATAATTATTATCTTTATAATAGCAAACACTTACCTAAAAAACGGTACGCAGAGGTGGACGAGGGGAAAGAGGAAGGAAACAACTAGTAATTTGAGAAATTGGCGTTTCATATGTTTCCCAAGGTTTTCGTGATCGAAATATTTTGCGAGACTATTTGGAAATTACGTGTTCTAATGGATCAGATAAGTTGATTGTAGTTAAGTATCAGATAATAAGGTAAATAAAATAAAATGAGATAAAATGTTGAAAAAAGTTTTTTTAGTATTGAAAATTTTTTGATGGTAAGAAATGTTTCGGTCCATTAAGTCGTATACATTTTTTACCATTACCACAATTGGACCTCGTCAATACCACGACTGTGGTAATTAATATGAAATTGATTAAAATTTAAATTGTTTTGTTAGAATGGATAGAAAAAGTAATAACAAGTTAAGTGGGTAATAAAGAAAAAGAGTGAGTGAAGTTGATATATGAAATATTACTGTAGAGAGGGTTGTTAAGTGTTCAGTTTATCCCTTAGCTGTAAACATAGAGTGATCATCTTTTTATCAGCCTATTACTTGACTCTTGGAATTCCTTCCTTTCGTCCTAAGCCGGAAAAGAAAAAGAAGGTAGGAACAGATTTAGCCGTGTTGTATGTAATTGCGTTGACTTCCGAGAACTGGCAAAAACAACTTTTTTTTTCAACAGAGATCTTCACCTCAACTAGTTTTACTGTTCAGTGGAATAAAGCTAAGAATTTAGATTGTTGGAAGCGTGCCATGAATTTTGCTCGAATCGAGTTCATCGGATAGTGATTTTGGATCAGGCTGGCGACGTCTTCTACCTTCTCACCATCAAACGAATCCTACAAGCAGTCCATAAACAGGTTTACTTGCGTCACGTGTTTACAGGCTACGCATCCCTTCTCGAAGACTCAAAACTGTAACACTACAGAATGATCATAAATGTAATCGTTTGAAAACTTTCTGCCAGAAAAAGTCTTATCGAAGTTCGTTTTGACTGGAAGGGAACTCAGCCCAAACCGTAAGATAGAGGGACCAATGCAAGACCAAAAAAATATAAAAATGCAAAATATAACCGCCTTTCTACAAGGCGCTGTTTTGCATAAAACTTAGATGATGCTCATAAAGAGCAAAAAAAAATTTGACTTTAAACTTCGGCTAAATTGGAAAATTTGAAAAGCATTAGACTTTTGCTGTTCTCAGTGATCCGTGCAATCTCTTGCTATACGTGCCCAGGTCACATTATTATAATTAATTACTTTCACTTGGTGTTTTGCTTGGTTGGTGTAACGCCAGCTGGAAGTAATTAATTACAGTGATGTGATAGCGCTAACAAAATTTCTAGCATTTGTTGATTTGTTAGCCTTTAAAACAAATTTCAGAATCGCTCGCTACCGTTTGCCTCGTGGCTGAACTGGGAGATCAAGAAATCACGAATCGGCACGTGGAAGAATCTGCACACGGTACTTTCTCATTATACATTTTTGCATATATGCAAATGCAAAAACGCTTATTGTGATTTTAATTCAGGAGATTTCTCTTGCATTCCACTTTCTACGAGAAAATGGGTCGGGCGCACAAATATTTCCCACTTGCAAGGACTACTGAAGGAAATAAGATGAAACTTATCTACTTCTACTTCAGTTATCGCTACCGTTGGACAATTCGAACGATTGTGGACTGTCCTGCTTAAGCAGAAATGAGTGCGAGCCCCGTCTTAGTGATGTTAGAACTAGCGATTCCTGAGAACCAACAAAGCCTCAGATCGGCTTTTTTTGTTCTCGAGTTCTTCGTGTCTAAATACATCCCATACATACAGGTTCGGGAAAACGATAGTTTGGAGACGGCAGCACGTAAAATGCTCGATTTCCGTATCTCAAGCGTTCCGATCCTGGACAGCGAGGACCGGCCTGTTGATGTGATCAGCAAAACGGACATCGCCTACGCTCTGGCCGACGTCAAAAATTTCAAAGTTTGTACTAAAAATATGCCAAAAATACAAAGATCACCGGGGCATCAAAGTGGATAATCCATTTCAGTGATATGACTGGAATAGTGCCGCACGGCTGGGCGCGAGTATGCCAGGTCCGTTAACACATAAACATCAGCATACTTGTACTGCAGCTATGCCGTGTACATGTGCTAGTGCCCCATTTATGTTTTCTGTGCACGGGATAGTAAAGAACTGTGGGACTTTCTGTACAAGATAGCGGATAGATGTGGGGTCTTCTGTACGAGATATCCAGAAATTATGGGGTTCAGGATTTCCTGGACTGCATACCTCTCTTGTTAGTATCCATCACAGACATTCGATACGTGTAAGCTATCTGTTCGGGAGCGGCTCGAGTTCTCATTTTCTCGGAGTAATGGAAATATTTCAATAGGAAATATTCATTTTAGTGCTACAAAAATTCGTTCGCGTACCGCAGTGCTAGGTTTTGTTCAACGGAAGCCTTCCCGTAAAATTCTCAAAAACAGAAGTTTCGACCAGAAACACGCCTAACTAACAATCACACATCACGGCAATCGTTGGAACTTCTGCTAGTTAAAATCCTAATTTTGTTGAGATGTAGCTAAAATGCACAATACAACTATTACCGACCCTTACGACCTCATTAAAGCTTCGTTTGGACCTTCAAGCCCCTTCTCAGGTGGTATTCTTCTGCACGCGTTCCATTCACTGACCACTGGGCACTAAAGGAGCACTGGTAT